CACGTCGATACCGGGCAAGATTCTGGAAAAGATTGTTAAGGAAACGGTCTGCAAACACTTAGAAACAAATGCAGTCATCGCTAATAGTCAACATGGATTTATCAAAAACAAGTCATGCCAGACTAATCTGATCTCTTTCTTCGATAGAGCTACAAGCTGGGTAGATGCGGGGAATGCCGTGGATGTAGCGTACCTGGATTTCAGTAAGGCCTTCGACAAGGTCCCCCATGACCTTCTGGCAAGGAAACTAGTCCAATGTGGGCTAGGCAAAACTACGGTGAGGTGGATCTGTAATTGGTTAAATGGACGAACCCAGAGGGTGCTCACCAATGCGTCCTCTTCATCCTGGAAAGAAGTAAATGAGGTTCCGTCCTGGGCCCGGTCCTGTTCAACATCTTTATTAATGACTTAGATGAAGGGCTAGAAGGCATGATCATCAAGTTTGCAGACGACACCAAATTGGGAGGGATAGCCAATACTCCAGAGGACAGGAGCAGGATTCAAAACGATCTTGACAGATTAGAGAGATGGGCCAAAACTAACAAAATGAAGTTCAACAGTGACAAATGCAAGATACTCCACTTTGGCAGAAAAATTGAAATGCAAAGATACAGAATGGGTGACGCCTGGCTCGAGAGCAGTACGTGTGAAAAAGATCTTGGAGTCCTCGTGGACAACAAGTTAAACATGAGCCAACAATGTGATGTGGCGGCAAAAAAAGCCAATGGGATTTTGGCCTGCATCAATAGGAGCATAGTGTCTAGATCTAGGAAGTAATGCTACCCCTCTATTCTGCTTTGGTTAGACCCACATCTGGAATATTGTGTCCAATTCTGGGCACCACAATTCAAGAGAGATATTGACAAGCTGGAATGTGTCCAAAGGAGGCGACTAAAATGATCAAGGGTCTGGAGAACAAGCCCTATGAGGAGCGGCTTAGGGAACTGGGCATGTTTAGCCTGAAGAAGAGAAGGCTGAGAGGAGATATTATAGCCATGTATAAATATGTGAGAGGAAGCCACAGGGAGGAGGGAGCAAGCTTGTTTTCTGCTTTCTTGGAGACTAGGACGCGGAACAATGGCTTCAAACAACAAACCTCACAGGCACGCCTGGCGGGGACGAGAGAGAGGGCCTTCTCAGTGGTGGCCCCCCGGCTGTGGAACACTCTCCCTACAGACATCAGGCAGGCGCCCTCCCTTATGTCCTTCCGAAAAAGCCTTAAGACATGGCTGTTCGAGAGGGCATTCAATTAAGTGCTATAATAATAATGTGGTAAAGATGACTGGAATGGAACAAGGAATACGAGATTGGTTACGATTCTACTATGAGACGAAGCGGATTAGTTAGTGTAACTTTATAATTGTTGTATTGCTGTATTGCTAATATGTTGTTTGTAATTCTCTTTTTGTAAATTGCCTTTTTATGCTGTACACCGCCATGAGTCGCCCTAGAGGGCTGAGAATGGCGGTTAATAAATGCACCAAATAAATAAATTAATAAATACACCAAACTACAAGAGAGGAGATTCCATCTGAACATGAGGAAGAACTTCCTGACTGTGAGAGCCATTCAGCAGTGGAACTCTCTGCCCCGGAGTGTGGTGGAGGCTCCTTCTTTGGAAGCTTTTAAACAGAGGCTGGATGGCCATTTGTCAGGGGTGATTTGAATGCAATATTCCTGCTTCTTGGCAGGGGGTTGGACTGGATGGCCCATGAGGTCTCTTCCAACTTTGATTCTATGAAGTTCCTTGGTATGCTTTTTCCGTGTTTTTTTACAGTGTTTTTTTCTGAGTTCCCCTGCGGGGGGTGAGAAGAGTGGGGTAGAAATATTGTAAATAAATAAATATTTTTTTTGCCAGTCTCCATTATTGACGAACAGTGTTTGCACAAAAGGTAGGATTTCTGCAATTGCGCTGCCTTCAGATGTTTTTGGTCTTGCCTGTGTTCCACCATCCATGCTAACATGTCCCTTCTTTTTTTAGTCTGATCACCTGTGCATTAGATCAGCTAATTTATAGCATATTCTTGAGATCTACATTCCTTTTCACAGAGATTGGAAAAGTCACTATTTTGTACTTTGACACTCAGAAGCACCAAGCCAAACTTTGGTTCTTTTTGAGATGGGAACTAAACTGAGAACAGAGCATTTGGCAGGTTGTGTATATAAATTAAGTCCCACTCCCTCCTTTCAATGTAAGTAGTCCAAAGAGCCTTTGCAATTAAAGGATGATGAGCTTCTTCAGCCCCAGAATGGAATTTGCAGGAACGAATTAGATCTCTGCCCCATGTTTTTCTCAGAATGAATTGCTGGCCATTAAAAAACTGCAAGCAAAATGCCATGTGTGTTTGTGCTACAAAAGTGTTTTTATTGGCTAAAATGCAGTTAGAAACTTTGCTGGCTTTGAAGAACTTGGCATAGCTTGTGTTTATTTTCAATGATTTGTTCAGAGTTATGTGTATTCTGTGCTTTTTGAAAAAGGTTTTTGTTTGCCAAGGTACTCAAAGTTTTGTGGCAATAAAAACAGAATCCTGTGACCTATATAAAGTATTTAAATGTAGTACATTTTCATATATTTTCTTTATTCCCATATTTTATTCCATCGTGGCATTAGCCATCATCAGCCTGCTTACAGGAATCTGAACCAAGTTTTAGCCATTTTGAGGAAGGAAGGAGTCATCTTATTCAAGTTCCTAAGAATGGAAAATCACAGGAATATGCTACTATGGATAAAGCTGTCTGAGAACAGTGAAACAAAAGAGTTTATTCCCTCTTTAAGTCAATCTCATTTAGAGTTAAAATATCCAATAAAAGTTTTTTTCAGAAATAGGTTATCGGGTTGGTTGAGGACAAATACCCTTAAGGCACCAAGCCTTTGGAAACTTAGCAGGATCTGCTTAGTACTTGGATGGGAAACTGCAAAGGCTAAATTTCAGAAGTAAAAAAATGACAAAGCGACCTCTGAGTATTCCTTGCCTTAAAAAATCTTATGAAATTCATGGGGTTGCCATGAGCCAATAGGCAACATGAAGGCATGCACACATGCAAGATCTGTTAGTTATTTTCCTTGCCCCCATAAACAGACATAAACATATGATGTTGAGTTACTAGAATTTTGTATGTAATCAGCATTTCAAAAGGCAGGTATATCTGAAGGGATGTCACACTAAAGACGGAGCAAGCTTGTTTTCTGCTGCTCCAGAGGCTAAAATGCAGACCAATTGATTCAAATTACAAAAAAAGAAAAAGAAAAAAAGAGAGAAATTCTACCTGAAGATCAGTGGATCAATCAATCAATCAATCAATCACACTGAAAGAGTTGTTTGACAGTGATTGCCTTGAAGAGTGGTGAGTTCTCTATCTTTGGAAGCCTTTAAACAGAGGTTGCATGAGCATAATTCATGTCCCACTCCTGCTTAATGTATTCCCAGCAGGTATCTGTCCAGCCTCTTTCTGAACTATTCCTGCCATGGCAGGGAATTGGACTAGATGACTTTTGCAATCCCTTATAGCTCTATGAGTGTATAGCGCCAGAGGGTTCTCTCGTTCAGCTGCAGTGGTACAAAATCTCTGTAAATAATCTAAGGAAATCCTGCTTTTTAATAGTCTAAAATTGTACTCAATTTCACTAGTTGATTATTACACTGCTCGCCTTCATATTTTACTTGTAACAAAGAGAAAGGATAAAAAGAAAGAAAGAAAATGGTTCTTTTACCACAGAAAGTTCAACTCCTCTCCTGCCTCTGTCTCTGAGTTGACACCACTACTAACAAGCAAGTTCACAATTCCGAAGGCTATAGTCATGTATCTCCATGCTCCAAAGATCCTGTTGAAGGTTCATTCAAGGGAAGGATCATCCACTGGCAGGCCCATGGATTATATGGCAATGTAGAAGGGCTCCCAGTTTCTTCGGTTTTTACCTGCAGTCCAGGTGTACATATTCTGGGGTCTTTATCAGTACCAGCTGCTGCAATGGTTCTCAACCTGCTGCCTTCTTTGTCTTCAGTATTTGGCTTTTTCTCTTTTGCCATGAACTCAAAACATTCAGTTGCTTCAATAGACATTTAGATATCTTTTTCTGGGAAATCCCTGCCAATAAATGCCAGGGGCAGAAACTGCCCAAATTATAGGGTGAATCCCTGGGGCAAAGGCATAGCAATGGGAACCCTATTATCCTCTGTAAAAGGGGAGGGAGCAAGGAAAGAAAGACCTAATCCCCCATTAGGAACCTGCCTCCTATCTCAAACTGAGGCAAAGAGCACAGCAGGGGGTGAAGCAGCCTTAAATAGCTTGCAGTTCCACCCCTGTCAATTGCCCCCACGTCTGGTCTCCTTGGGAGGGGGGGGGGCTTCAAATTCCCCCCTGCGCCTTAGGCTTTTCCTGCAAGTTGCGGATGGGCAATAGCTACAACTGCACTGGCTGTTGCAGCTATTGCAATGTGAATTGGTGAAAAGGTAGGCAATAACCTTGTAAATACATTGTCAAAATTTGGTTGAGATAGTCCTTGCAATTCTGGAGGGATTCTTGATTTTTGCTTCTCATAGACTTAGCATGGAGATTTGGTTAATCAGTTTAAATAAATGAATAAACCATTTTTTAACCTGAAAAATGTTTGGGATGTTTTGGACCCCAACACCCCCCTCCCCCTGGCTACAGCCTGTGTATTGGCATTCAAACAATTTTAAATGCAATATCAATTGAATTTTATTTGACACCAGGTGTTTGAAAGCAGGTGGAGATTTTTCTTGTCAGAATATCCTTTTTTTAGATTGCCCTCTCATCTTCAAAGCTAGATTTGAGATTATAAAAAAGTTGAGATGTTTATGTTTTAGTCTCTTTAGATTGGTAAAAAAGGATCTTGTAGATCACACATAACTTAGGTTTTAACTTGCAGGTTTTCTTTAGTGCTTAACATTTGAAGCAGTTTATTTTTCTCTCTGAAGCTGCATGTGCATTGCTTCTCTAATTATTGTGTTGGCTTTTCCTTCTCTCTCCCAACTTAGGTGTAATGGCTCTGCTGAGGCCGCTCCTATTGGATGTGGTTCCAAATATTCAACAGACAGCTGCCTTGGCCCTCGGGAGACTTGCCAATTATAACGATGACCTGGCAGAAGCTGTAGTTAAGGGAGATATTCTTCCACAGCTTGTGTATTCATTGGCTGAGCAGAATGTAAGGAACTATAATTTTCTTAAGTCTTTCTCTTTTTTTGCTGCCAAATAGGGTTAAAATTTCTGTCTTAATTAGATAATAAGCTTCTTTAGAGTCATGTGTTGCCTTTGCTGCATGCTACATGATAAATGCATTGATCCCTCCTGATAGAAGGTCTCTGTAGATAGAAGGTATCCATAATTGTGATTTAATGACTCTTTTTTTAAAAAAATAGTTTTATTCTTACTTCATTAGCTGTATTATATTACTGTTAATTTTATTTCCTGAACTGTTTAATGAAATGATGGGATGGAGAAGAGCACTTTATAAATGAAATAATCAGAAATACTGTGGTGCTAATTAACCAGAAGAAGCCATTAACATCTGTCCATAAATGCACAGAAACAAAATTTCAGTTGAAGCAAGAATCGTATCACAAAGACTGAAAATCTAGAAAATGGTAGCATTGTAGTATCAAGTTTATTGATGCATATATAGCCAAATATATAAAAAAGCTTTTGTATTTTCTTATGGATAGGTCAAATTATAAATGCTACCAGATTAATGGTTTTGATCTGCTACATAAAATGAAATGTTGTGTGACTTCCTTAGCATTGAGTTGCCAGTACTAATCTTACTCTAGTTAGGGAGTATTTAGGCCATCTCTTGTGAAAAGACTTACTGAAAGAAGTTAGGAACTAATTATTTTATCACTGCGTTTAGAGCCTATTTCATTTCCCAGGTTGCTATATGCTTTATAACTGTTTAAATGCAACAGAGATAGAATCATATTTATTTTCCTTTTGCCAGATTTTCCTTTTGGAAATATATCTTGCCAGATATTAATATTAAGAAAATAAGTCTTCTTTTGCTTTTGGAGTAGCTCCCATTTCTATCAGTATTTCACTTACATTTGAGTGCTGCTTTTGTATTTATTTCCTTATGTGTTTAATACCTTTCTTTTGTTTAAGAATGCTCATTTTTGTCCTGATAATAGTCAAGCCTTCTAACTTACTGTGAATCTTATTTTGTGCTTGCTGCTTGGATACATGGTTATTTAGAAGGCCATTTAGTGAGTCTGAAAATAGCCCTGTGATAAATTTAAAGAAAGGGGATACAGATTTTACATCAGTTCCACCTATTCCTGTTTTGGTGTTACCTGGTTCTTCTTCATGGTTGTGTATAAAATGTGTCAACAGTTATAAAAGACTCAGCAGTAGCGGAGGGAACTGGGTGAGATTATTTTTTCTCAAGTGCTAGAATTTGCCCCAGAGGTGGTTCTGACTGAATGTGTGAAGCATGTTGGTTCAACAACATCAGCCCCTGGGTTTGTAATATGTATTATTCCGGACGCAGTACATTTTGAATAATAACAGTGGATACAATCTATTGGGAATTTAGCTGTGCAGGCACCAGTGAAATGAATGGGAATTGCATAAAGAACCTCCCAATAGATTTTACCCACTGATATTAAAAATATTTGAAATATGGCCTCCTCCTTTAAACATAATTATTTGAAAGTAATAATATGCATGCTCTGATGCGCATACAAGCACTTGCTAATAATAGCACTAGAGCTATGAAATTGTTTTTTCTTTAAGCAGGAATCCATTTTTACAGCCATATTGATAGCTGACGAACAGCAACTATTTACAATGTTTTGTTTTAAGACCAAGGCCTAGTCACACTTTGGAAGTATTTTTGAAACTGATTTTTGATTTAAATAATAATTCTGCCTCATGTAAACATTAAATCATCCTATCTGTGTGCTTACTTGGCAGCCAACGAAGTTAATTTCAGGAATGCAACTGTTCTCTTGAGACACTGTTACACCATATTCCCCGAATCACATGCATTCACTCTGTTTTAATCAAATATGAAAGAACAGCCATTTCCTGCTTCTACTTTCATATTCACTAATGTTAATTCCATAATTTTTCTCATACTTTCTTCTCATGTTCATATTCCTTGAAATAGTACCAGGTAGAAATCGTTTACATTATCCACTTAGATTTCCAACACAACAAAATAATTAAAAAGTGTTTTTAAAATCAGAGGTGAATTTGCTATAGTTTACATGTTACTGTCTTTTTCTCTTTTTATTGTGGAAAAGTGGACTCTTTTACCTGGATCTATAACATACATAAAACTGACAGACAGAGACACTCCCTGCATGTAGAAGCAGTGTCAAGGTAGACAGGTCTAATAATCCTATCATGGGACATTTTCTTTATGGCAACAATGGCATCTTTCTGTCTATTTTTCCTGGGCCTTTGTCAGAAAAGATGGCGGTGTATGTCAATCAGCCAATCCTGTACCTAAGGCATGGGAGCAGTATGTTAGGATAAAAGCTTTTTGTCAATTCTTTGGTTTTTTTAATGGCATCACACTTTGTTTCTAAATCCTCATGATTAATACTTGTTAAATTATTGGCAGAACAAATAGAGATTTAGATTTTTTAAAATTAATTTTTTGCCCTTATTTCTGGTGAAAAAATGGAGCTAAAAGCCTGTTTTGACTGAGAAAGGTTCTGCAGTGAAATGAATTCTGGTTTGCAACCCTGGAAAGTTTTTCATGGGACAGAAGCTCTCATCTGCAGACTGGCAATATTTTGCTCATAAAGAAGTGTTAGTGCGTAGGTGGGCAGAATTAATCTAATAAGTAACATTTTTTTTTCAAATAAATGCAGCAAGAGTTTGTGAATTAAGTTTTGAAGTCATTAATCATTATCAAAATGATGTGTTGTCATTTAAAAAAATAATTTAAACCCCCTAAACTAGACTGTTTACCCTTAGATGTCCTTTCCTATTGCCAGTGTTTAAACAGGGTTTAGTTGACAGTGTAGTTAGTCCTTGGCACACTTCATGTACTGAATTCTTTCTCCTAAAAAAGAAAGAGAGAGTCAGAGAGAGGCTGGTGCTTGGGGGAAGATTGTACAGGTTTTTGGGTGAGGCTCACATTGGCCACCATTTTGGCTACTTGGTAAGAAAATTTGTGTCTGTTATTTTGGCAAATGAAACGTAGATTGAGTGGACAAGGTGTGAGCTGAGGTTCCTACTTTCTAATATCTCTGTTTACTTTCAAAAACATGTGTATGAGGAGCACTTTATCTCAGAGCTGCAACTGGTTCATTCTCTGCTTTGGCTGGACATGGGGCCTGAGGTCAAACAGGATGCTGGACAATCCCTTACATCTTGCAGAAGGACTGCTGGATACATTGTATAGCTGCAGTGATCAGTAAGGACAACTCAGCCGTGACTTGTAGGGAGGGGAAGAGACTAAATTCTATTTGGATCCTGTGGAAGACTTTATTGTATATGTATACATTCTATATGTGTGTCACTTCTTCCTAGTCTGCTAGGCAGCCCATATACCTTTTTAGTACTTGACAGGTTAAATACTTATTCAGAGACCACTCAAGACACTTTAAAAGTTCCTAGGTAAAGTGTTACATATCTCTTAATAGAAATATACAGCTTAACTTGTATAAAATAAATTGAGTACAATAATTGATTCTGTCTTTTGAAATAATTTATTCTACCCTTCTATAGCGTTTCTACAAGAAAGCTGCTGCATTTGTATTGAGAGCAGTTGGAAAACATTCCCCTCAACTAGCGCAGGCTATAGTCGACTGTGGAGCACTAGATACGTTAGTGATTTGCTTGGAAGATTTTGATCCTGGTGTAAAAGAGGCTGCCTCCTGGGCTCTTGGCTACATAGCAAGACACAATGCAGGTAACAGTATCCCTAATATTTTGGAATGCATTTGCTGCCGGTAAAGGAGAAATATCATAGTCTCTGCTTTTCTACGACCAGAGAAAGAGATGGCTTCATGGGATGGTATATGTCAGATATGATAGTATAGAAAAATGGGGAGTTTATTGTTTAAATTGAGGGCAAGATTTGGTGAGGCATAGTGCTCTGAGTGTTGGAATACAACTATGAAAACCAGGGTTTTAATCTCTTTGGTCACAGAAACTCACTGGGTGACTGTGTGCAAGACATTCTCCCAGCCTCAAAGGAAGGTGAAGACAACCCCCTCATTATCCTGTACAAGGATCTTTTAAAGATTACTGTGTGATATTTGTGAAGTTCTTTGAATGCTGGAAAACTACTACACAAATAAAGTTATATTGGATTTGTGGAATTAAAATGGGATGCTTAGATGACATTAGTATGTCTTTAGCATTTCTGCACTTGAGCTTGCTTGACACTCTGCCCAGCTTTGTACTGTGTGCAGGCATGCTGTCTAGAGCAGAGGAGTGAATCCCTGTTATCTCTGATTGGAGATGGTGGGGACTCAAAGAAATAGGCTTTGGGGAAAGGTTTGATGATAAGTACATTCCTAATGGACCATATTATGATATCTTGTGGGAGAGAATTCATTTTCCTAGAATAAGCAAATCCACAAACACTTTCCCCTTGACTTTTCCACTCATAGCCAAATCATATCTTTCCTATAGTCCAGTTCAAAGCAGATAATGTGGGATTTTATTCAACTGTGTGGAAGAGACCTTAGTTGTGGTGTGTCTTCAAGTCATTTTCAACCTATGGCGAGTTAAGGCAAACACTATCACAGGATTTTAATGGCAAGATGTATTCAGCTTTCCTCTGAGGCTGTGAGGGTCTGACTTGCCAGTGAGTTTCAAGTCTGAATGGTCATCCAGAGTTCAATGTTGAAACCACTACCCAGTGCTTCTTTTATGTGAGTGTGTGTGCACACTCAAACAACAGAAGTAGAGAAATCTTCAGCATTTTCTCTGTGATTTGATTTCAGTGCTAATTGATACAATTATTTCTTGGCTACAAGTATGACCATAATATATATACTAACATAGGCAGGATGGTGTCCACTAGACATTTTGTACTACAACTTCCACAATTTGAACATGTCATTTGTGGCTTGTGGGAGTTGTAATCTAAAACATTTTGAGTATCGTGGTGCCTACCCCTGGTACATTTATGCATATCCTATAGTATGATATGCTAACAGCTATTATATATTTTGGCATTTGAGGAACTGCTTTGGGATCACTCTTGGATTAGTCTGTTTGTTATTTTTTCAGTCTCTTTTAAACACATTCAGAAACTTTATAGATCAAACTGCCCTGAGTCCCCCTGGGGAGATAGGGTGGGTTATAAATAAAGTATCATCATCATCATCATCACCATCATCTTAAACATATGTGTGTCATGGAAATTTTCCCAGTATTGCCTGGGCCAATACTGATTGTTTTATTTTGATAATTTATTGCTTTAAATTGTAGTACATAAGATATACTTTAAATTAAAGTACAGAAGATATGGTTTTAAACATTGAGCTAATCTTTACATTGTAGGAAAAAGAAGGCAATGCATTGCATGTAACAGGCATATGTCACAAAGCAAATGTGCATGGTTTTCCATATAAGTCTAACCTGCCTTGTATAACAATGGTCCTGGCTACAGTTACCAGATTGATGTCTGTTTAGGAGAGATTTGAAATCTTTGCTAGATTTGGTTTAAAACGTTACTGTTTTCTTTTTTCTTTTTGTCCTATTACATAATACACTCAATTTGGTGACTGTGATCAAGCATGTAAAATGTTTAGTGTAACAGACAGACAATACTTCAAATTTAGAAGAAATGTACAACAATACATTCCTGGCTGTATTTTTCAAATCTTGTGTAAAATCATCTGTTTTTCAAAACAAAGACAGCTTTTGTGGTTTATCAAACCTCCTAAATAAAAGGCAAAAAGGATTAATTATTCTTAAAAACAGATTCAGTTATAAAACAGGATACAATTCCAGGGAAATAAATTCAGAAAATTAAAGAAAACACTTTCAGTCTTGAACACCATCCTATTTTCAATGATAAAGACTGGAAGACAGGGCAAAGTACTTGTTACAAAGAGCGTGTAAATTACCCGAACATGCTTCTACAGACCAGTGTTTTTTTCTCCTCTCATGAAGCGATTGTAGATTCAGACACGTAGAGGACTTGTGTCCATGGAAACAATAATACACCGCACACAAAATTGACCACACAGCCGATCGGGGGAATCTTCCCTCTCCTAAGGATGGCAGTCTTTGATTCCAAATGAGATCATATTTAGGGCAGAGTTGGTCACAAAATAGTTGTTTGAAGTCCCCCAATTAACAATGGATGGCCAGTATGCAGAGTGGGTCACAGGTAACAAATCAGGAAGGCTCACTGAAATCTGATCAGCTGCAGCTGGTGGCTCTGGAAATCCCAGTGGTCAATGAGGCACACCTTGGGGTTCAAAGGAAAGCCTTCACAATGGGTGTTAAGTAGTTGGCGTATGCACCTAGACTGGCTTAGCCTGCAATTCCTAACCTCCTGACCTGTTGTTGATTTAGTAGGCAAAGTGGAAACTCTATTCAATATGGCAAATTTGGTTAATGCAATAAAATGTGTGACATCTGTAAAAGAACATTGCAATCTATCCCTTGCCCCGAAGGAAGGCTTATGTTCAGGCCTTCAGCCAGCCTGGGACAGGAGCCTTTTAATACAATTCAAGGTTTTGGATGTGTACAGGAGAAAGGAAGAAGAGGAAAGGGATAGCTTTTGTCAGTATCTTTAATTGTGTAATGTTAAGAGGACTCAGTGCCAGCCCCAGAGCTGAGCATATACAGTAGTGACTTTTTTAATATTCAGAAAAAGTTCATTTCCTTTTTCTTGAAAACATCTATGTATAAAACAAAGAGAGGATTTTGAAAAATTGCATATATCACCCTAATCCTAATCCCCCATCTGATGGACTCTTTGCAGTTTAATTGCCTCTTCTATTTGTCCTTCAAATTTCTATTTATTTTTCTTCACCATCTCATGATACTGTACATCTTGGAAGCTCATAGATCTTTGTCAGAACACTTTGCTTTTAATCTCTCTCACATCATTTACTGATGTACACTTTTATGTACACATTCCTTTAATACATGTAACTCACTTTGGGTAGCTTGGCTTTGCTATTAGTGGGAATGATACAAGTAGTTTTATATATGTTATTCTATCATCTCTCACATAGATGTCAAATTTTCTACCTTTATTTAAATAAAACTGTACTGTACCTTTGCTCTAATAGAGAATTCATTCACCTTGCTTGGTTCTTTTTACTTTTTTTGAGAGGACGGTGGGGTGGGGGTATCATTTCTTTTCATCTTTATTTGGTTGTGTATACTGGGACAGGAGGGTGGGATCTGCTTCGTGGGTGTAATAACCAGTGTAAAAAAAGGTAATTCCTTTTCTGAGTATGAAAAAAATTGAATGGATGAATATGCGGTTGCTGTTGCCCGTTTTTGGTCAAAAATGATTTAGTCGCTTGTGTTCCCTCTATTTTATCAGTTTTATACGTATTTATGCAATGACACAAAATAAATAAAATATATACCTAAACTGAGTACATGTTGGAAAATTAATGATGCTGCTGTTGAAATGTGAAAATGTAAAGAGAAGCTATTGGATGTTTATAAAGATTTAATTGTATATTGTAGAAGGGGGGTTAATTGTAGTATTATCCACAAACCCTATTGATCTGGGAGATGGAGGAAATGCGGGCATCTCTTGAAATATAACCCAACAGTATTTAACAATAAAATGACAGAATGGAAGAGCAATAAATCATAATGAACATTTTAATGCAAATGTTCTGGTCTATTAGCTAATGAGTCTTTTTCCATTTTTGTTTGGATTGTTTGGTTTCATTATTTATTTGTTTGTTTTGATGTTCCAACCCTCCCCCCCCCTTTTTTTGGTAAAAGGTTGGGTTATTTTTCAAAAAAGGGTTTTCTCTTTTTCTTTCAGCTTAAATTGCAAACATATCACATTCTCTATTGCAATAGTATATTTTAGAAAGGGGAAAAAAGCACTTCCTCCCCGTATCTATATTGAATTATTGTGTCACATGCACAGTTAATGCAATTCGTGCTTTTTTTTTTTACAGTTTAAAACAGGAGCATTGTATAAAATACGGGTTTCAAGAGAAGATCACATTAACATATCTACAAATCACATCATAAGATATACTACTTAAAATAGTACAATAGTAATGGGAGTTCATCATAATAGTATCTAGTTTACTAAACTTAAGAGATTAATTTTTTTTTTGCATCAAGCTACGGATGAAGGACTTTTTTATACCATTTATACATACATATGTGTGTGTGTATATACACATGTATATGCTATGAAATTAGGTATCCAAAGAATTTGAGTTATAACACTGTGATTAAGAAATTTCTACAGAAGGCTTTGATTGATGGACTATAAATGCAAAATCAAAGTTGGGCCTTGAATTACACCAGTTATGTGTTGTCATGGCAGTGTCAAGCAGGTTAAATGTTAAGAAAAGAGAGTATGTACATAACACTAAGATCTAACAGAATTTTATTTAAGAAACTGTAATAGCCTGCTTAAAATTAATGGAGTTTGTGTTCCTTTTTCATCATCTCCCAAAATCCTTGCATTTGCTATCCCTTAATTTTCTACTTCACTACTGAAGCTAATGCTAATGACAAATATCTGAATGGCTGCTGTAACTGTACACTGGCTATATCAGTTAATTGTGAGTTTTCAGGGTAAGATGCAAGCAACTAACCAATAGTGCCGTAATGCTACGTACGGTTGCCGTGATTTAAAGTCGTGCAAGATTATTATTGGTAGTTTACTGCACTTTTTTAAAGCATAATTTTTGATGTCGACAATCAGTAGGCTTGATTTTTTTCAGTGGAATATACTGTGTGTATATAACAACAAAAGCAAACTTTGATCTGTTTGAGGTATCATATTTTTTGTTTCTCGTATGGAGGAGATAAAGGGCTATCTCAATTAGCTTTGTGGGAGAAGAGACCCGTTTTGGCATTTTGGCTTTTCTTTATTGTTAGCTGTGCAAAAACTGCTTGCCTATTGATCAGTGCACAACAGTCAGGGCTTAAACAGCTGACATCTGCTTACTCTTTTTAAATGCAAGCTCACTCACAGACACACACACACTCTCTCACACACAGAGGCAGAGCAGCAAGCCATTTCAGCTTAATCTACCTCAAATGTGTACATGTAAATGGGGGTCCGTCTATTGACCTGTATTCTTTTCAGCTGAGGATTGGTCCACATGGCTCATGAAACCAGGAGGGCTGATTTGAAATGCAGATGTCAAGGCACTGGCGCCCACCCTCCCCTCTCCCCCTGCTGTATCTGTCAGGGTGAAAAATGGCTTGCACAAGGGTCAGTCACCCATACTCGCTTAATTACTTTCATTGGACCAACAGAACTGTCACAGGCGGTGGTAGATGCTGGAGCCATTCCTCTCTTAGTCCTCTGTATCCAGGAGCCAGAGATCGCTTTGAGAAGGATTGCTGCCTCCGCGCTCAGTGATGTTTCAAAGCATTCTCCAGAGTTAGCCCAGACCGTCGTGGATGCGGGGGCAATTGCTCACTTGGCTCAAATGATCCTCAACCCTGATGCCAAACTGAAGGTACTTTTCAAACTACTTTCTTTCTCCCGCCCTTCTGTGTCATGAAACTAGGATTCAGTTATGATTGGATGTGGAGGGAAGCACAATAGTCTAAAAGGGCTCCTATTCCCAAATACACATTGCTGAATGAACAAAGGAGGGCTCAGTCTACTTCTGATTTTGACTGCTGTGTACACAGTGTAGAGGGAATGAGAGAACTTGTCTTTAAATATTGAGATAATGCAGTTTCTTGGTAATAGTCTATAGTGGCTGATATTGGTAGTAATTTCAAGAGCTTGTCTAAACTGTTGTATCTTCTTTATATATAAAACCTTTGCAACACAGCTTTAATGGGTCTAACGTGTGTAATTTATAGTGCTGAGTTCTATTTTTTGTGTTCTTAAATGAGCAATTCCTCCTTCCTAAATGCATTTATTTGGAAGTAGGTCTGTTTATTTCAGTGAGATTTGTTTCTTAGTAAGTTAGCTTACAAGCAAATGAGTTTTGAGTAACATAACATATATGTGTGTTCTAAAACTTTAAACATTTCACATATTTACTCAAGCACATCATAACATAGTGCATTAAATAGCATTTACATTTTAATACCATAATTCCTTTTGTCTTTGGCATTTTGTGACAATTAAAAGCCAATGGCATTTTCCACATACATATTTAATTAATGTAGCATTCTTTTAAACATCCATTTCAAATATTAAAGTTTAAATGAGAACAGCTGATGAGGACTTGTGCAGTCTGTTCTTTGTAACTAAAAATAAAGAAACAATTATTGAATGTGTAATACTTTTAAAAGAGAATAATAAGCTGCATGTCTCACCTTCTGTTTTGAATTTCTTGTAGAATAAGTATATTTTGTGCATCTATATTACATTTTCTCAGAAGTAGTTCTGCTGAATTTAATGAGACATGTAAGCATGTTTGTTTTTTTATTTATATTTTGGAGAAGAAACTTTTACCTTTCTTTGTGTTTTGCTTTATTTTGTTTGGCTGTTAAATTAGGAGGATGGTGAAGGGTTGTCCCAGTTGGAGGGATGTTTTCTCTCTTTTCTTGATTGCTGTGCATACGTGTGCCTGTGTACTTGTAAAGTGTTTGCCTAACAAGCCATTTATAAAACAATCATTCCTATTTACCAGCGTCAGGTGCTATCAGCTCTCAGCCAGATAGCAAAGCATTCTGTGGATCTGGCAGAAATGGTGGTTGAAGCAGAAATTTTCCCTGTTGTGCTCACATGCCTGAAGGACTCCGATGAATATGTCAAGAAAAACGCTGCAACTCTAATTAGAGAGATAGCAAGGCATACGCCTGAGGTAAAACCTTGAGAATGCAAATACAAGGTCATGTTATTAGTGTTTATACTTTAAATAAATGTGGAAAAAATCCCCAGTATTATTCTGTCATTAGGCAAAGTGAAAAGCTCTGTGGAATTTCCATTGGTGCAAAGAAGAAAAAAGGAAATGTTTGTTGCTGTTATTGGATGTGCTTGGAATACAAATAAGGAGTAGAGAAATGGGGAAAATCAGCTTTCCTTGTTGGTGAGTGTCAACATGGAAAGTATAAACTGTTAGGAGATGCAGGATAATGTGTGGAAGGCAATTACAAAGTGCAGATATTCTTAGACTGCAAATCAACATAGAGCAACATGTTCTTTAACGTCCTGTTTTAAACTGTCAGTTTTATACCTGTTTTACAAACATGTTGGATTGTTGTTCTCCCACCAACATGCGGTTTTCTTGCTACATGGATCCCTCAAAATGGTAAATTAGTGTGCACTGTAATTTTTTTTAAAAAAATGATCTTTTCTAGGAAGAAGGCAGTATTCAGATTGCCTTTAAAATTATTGTAGAGAATATCCAAATGAAGTTCAGCAGATGACCTATGGAGGTTGATGAAGTAAAAAGAAACTGATAGCTGAGTCAGATTCATCAACCTCCACCGAACTAAATAAAGCAAATGATACACTGCACAATTGTTTCCCACAGACCTCTGAAAGAAACATGTGGCTCCATGTGTCAGATACAGGGAGATCCAGAGCATGATTTCTTGTCATTCGTTTAAAATGTCGATCAGTAATAGCTGACATATAAATTAGAGTTTTTTTAAAAAATGTTAAAAATAAGGTTATAGAACATTATAGAACATTAAAAGACTGAGGTGAAGAGAGGGTAGCACATGAACATTTAGAGCACACCAGGGTCTAATTATGGAGAGCTTTTTATTAATTTACGCCACAGATCCCTCACCGAAATCCGATATTCTCATTATTTCAGGTGCTCTGGGGCTTTAGGGACACCCCCTCCATCCCATATCAGGAGGATAATGGGAGAAGTGCTGTTTTAGCAGCTCTGATGCTGTGAGGGCTGGGGGAGGACTAAGGATTTGGGGAATCCTTACTGTAGTCAAAACTTCCTTTGTGTCAGGGAGCACAATCTCCCCAGGAGTCCTGGCGCAGAGTCTGAAAGCTCTTGCATTTGAAGCAGAGGAAAGGGGGGGAGAGGAGAAGGGGGAGGGGCTGCTTGAATCACAGGCTGAAGCATTCTCTGTAGATGGATCTGGTATTGCAATCTGCCGGCATAAGGACCTCTTTCTCACCAGGCCTCTCCCTGGATGTAGGATTTGATCTTGCCAGATTCCTGTGCCCTCCACAAGATGCCTAGTATCCCATAATATTAGGCCTGATAAATGTGTTCACACTTATTTATTAGGTTAGTTGGTCATGTTAAAAATTAAATCAGTACACAGTCTGTTTCTCACCCTCACCCCAAGTAGTTGGAGGTATGGTGGCTTGAACCACAAACCTCCTAAATGGGATGTAAGCGTTTCCAAGCCAGGTGTATCATCTTAGGTGGTTGTACTGTTTTTTGTTACACAAAAAGGATGCTTCAAATTAAGAGTGCAGATTTATTAATCTGAGGGATTTCTGTGGTGTTACAATAAAATTCCTAGCGTAGTTTACACAAAAACACAGTACAACAAATAGGTGAACCTATCTTGGAAGAGCTTTCTGTAAACTGGAGCAATACCAGTGGAAAAACCCTTTCACTTTGAAAGCTGCATAAATACCCTAATACACCAAATCCTGTGTGCTCATGGAAACTAAAAAGCTCAATATTGGTTAGGAATTGGATGCGAAATCACCAATGAATGCAAGGTACTGTATCTGTATTTCACCTCACAGTATTCCGTACCTAAGAAAACCCTATGAAATTAATCAATCTGAAGGTGCGCACACAGTCACTCAATCTACCTAGAATAATGAAATCTTGGAAAGGCATATTTTCAAACCACATTAAGAAAACAGACTGTGTGTAGTCTAACAAATAGATGCAATGGATTTCATTGTGATTTTTATGTTTTTAATAAGTTGATAGTTAAATATGAAGACTAATTTCCATCAATTTAATTTCTTCATGTTACATGAATTATTCCTTTTCATTAGCAACTAGAGAGTTTTCCAGACCATAACTTGTGAACATGTATTGTAATTCTCATTCAAAACCACTGTGGCTTCCAGCTGTCTTCCAAGCACATTTAAAGTAGTTTTTTATTATAAAGTTTAAGCTGAAACAATTCTGTATAACTACTGGATATTTCCATTTGTAGCCTGATTTTGGTCCTGCCTTCAAATCTCCTTCATATAATACAAATGTGATAAATTAAAGCTAGGTATCCTGTTTATGGCAGGGAAGTCACATTATGACCAGTTTTTCTTCTTTGTCCTCTACTCAAGATGCATGCCAAAGTCAGAGAATGAAGAGTTATATGAAAGTATTATCACGCTTTTCTAAGTGGACTAGCTTTAAACATCAAATTGCTTTGTTCCAGAGGCCATGATAAGTATGGTTTGATTAAATTGCCTGGATTAAATAGTTAAAAAGGGAGTTACAGTGGGGATAGAACTAGAGAAAGGGAATTAAGCATTAAGATTCCTTTCTCCTATGATGGGCAAATTCTTCTCTCCAACCTGTTCAGATCAGTAAAATAAAGATAATGCCTCTAAAATCTCTTAAATCAGTTCTGCTGAAACACATCTTTCACCAATAATACCCCACCTCTGTTACACTTTCAAATATAATGAACTAATCAGTTCAACTGACTATCTGCACACTCTGTTTCCCTTGTTCACTATCTCTACCCAGGTGAGAGTCAAAGAACAGCTACCTTCTGCCAGCACTTGTGTCTATGTGTGTACATGTGCCTTTAAGTCACCTTTCCACATATAGTGACTCCATGCATTTCATAGGATTTTCTTAGGCACTTGCTCATGCTCACCACTGAATATGGTAAGGGCAGCTCAATCACAAGGAGCCAGGGCAGTAAGATACCTGCAACCCAAATTTTCCAGACCCCTCCAGTTCAAATATTTCCATTTTGTCTTATTATTTTTGTGAATTAATTCACAGTTCACTTGCTTTACACAGAATATCCCAAGTTTAGTTTTAGAATGGAAAAGGAATAATACAGAGAAAATCTGTGCTTGTAGAGCCACTACCAAGTAGTTTGGATAGTAATAAAGTAGAGAAATGAATGGATTGACTTGAAAAAGGTTCTTAACATGGATAGGTTCAGCTATTTGCCTATAGATTTTACAGATTTTTTTTGTATCAGGAACAACTTGAGAAACTGCAAGTCATTTGTGTTGTGAGAGAATTGGCCGTCTGCAAGGACGTTGGCCAGGAGATGCCCAGATTTTTTTTATGTTTTACCATCCTTGTGGGAGGCTTCTCTCATGTCCCCGCAGGAGGAGCTGGAGTTACATTGTAGTGTATAGTATTTATACTATACTTTATAATTCATTTTAGCTGTAACTATAGTGAAAGTGGGGATGCACACACATATCCTGTATGTATCTGTGTAGTACGTTTTGCTGAAACAAGTGGGGGGGGGGATTCTTATGGGCTTTAACTTTTTTGCACAGACCAGAGTCACTGAATCCAGTGCTTAATAACAATGAGTAGTAAGTAGAAATAGATTTGCATTAGCAGAAGAAGATTGCATTGCATTATGCTTTTCTAATTAGTATGTACCTGTAAACATCTGTTCAGCATATTGCAGGGCTGATTAACCACAAGAGTCTTTTTTCAGTTCGGTTATATTTGTATAATTGGATTAGCTCATTTCAGTGTGCACTATCAGTTGGTGGTGCTGGGATGGTGGAGTAATCTGGCAAAAGACTGCTTGACCATACACTTTGATAGTATTTTGAAACTGTTGCTTCTCTAACTTTTATGGTTTATCTCCTCTCAGCTTTCACAACTTATCGTGAATGCAGGGGGAGTTGCTGCTGTCATTGACTGTGTTGGCTGCTGCAAAGGAAATATTAGACTCCCAGGGATTATGATGCTGGGCTATGTGGCAGCTCATTCGGAGAACCTTGCCATGGCAGTGATAATCTCCAAGGTCAGTTCTTAGTCCCTGATAGTGGCAGTCAGCATAATATTCTGATAAGATTGGGCCAGTGCACATGACGTGAAGAAAATGGACCGGGAGACACGTTTCTTCCTCTCTTACAATGTTACAATTCAATTCAATTCCACTTAAGTTTCATTATAGATTCATTATAGATAAAATGGCATACTACTTTACACAGGATAGCCAGTATGGTGTAGTGGTTTAAGCATTGGATTGCTATTCTAGAGACCAGTGTTTGAATCCCTACTCAGTCATGGAAACTCTCTGTGTAACCTTGGGCAAGTCACACTCTCTCAGCCTCAGAGGAAGACAATGGCAAATTTTATCTGAACAAATCTTGTTCAGGTTTACTTGAAGGCACAAAGCAACAAGAGCTACTAGTAGCTACTAATCTGTATGACTGTCTGCTCCAGAAGCAGAGTTGGTATCTCTCTCTGTAGTAGTTGTTACAGAATAGGATACATTTACATTCATAACCTGCTGGTAGGCTTCCCAAGGAGCCTCCGGTGGCGCAGTGGGTTAAAGCACTGAGCTGCTGAGCTTGTTGATTGAAAGGTCGCAGGTTCGATTCCGGGGAGCGGCGTGAGCTTCTGCTGTCAGCCCTAGCTTCTGCCAACCTAGCAGTTCAAAAACATGCAAATGTGAGTAGATCAATAGGTACCGCTCTGGCGGAAAGGTAACGGCACTCCATGCAGTCATGCCAGCCACATGACCTTGGAGGTGTCTATGGACAACGCTGGCTCTTCGGCTTAGAATTGGAGATGAGCACCACACCCCAGAGTCAGACATGACTGGACTTAATGTCAGGGGACTACCTTTAACTTTACCTTAGGCTTCCCATAGGCAATTGGTGAGCCACTGTATGCAAAAATAAATTAATTAATAAATAAAATGTTAAACTAGATAAGATTTTGGTTGGATCCAGCATGGCTGTTCCTACTTTGCTGTGGCTGTTGTGTATTAAAGAAACATGACAACACATGCTAAAGACAGAATAAATGTCTGTTTATGAGAAAAATTGTTTGTGACATGACTAAAAGACCCATGTGCAAACACCCCCTCTCCCATGAAGCTTATGCATGCTCCTAGGACGTATCTCTCAGGCTAAGTTGCAGACAGAGTGAATGAGTGAGATTGCCTTTTCTGTGTCAGGATAATAAGGCAATAGCAGGTGGGAGGGAAAATGTGCATTGTCTTGAGCTTCTTAAAGAAAAGGCAGGATATAAATAAAAAATAAATCACTTTCGCTAACACCTCAGCCACATATAGTGAGGGTACAGGAGGAGACATTTTGGGTGGCTGCCCCCAGCCTGTAGAATTCCTTCCCACAGGCAGCTAGGCTAGCATTCTCTCTGTTCTATTCCACTTGCAGGCAGAGGCTGCTTTGGCTATTAACTGGTTGCTGCAGAAGGGCCTTTTAATGGGGAGTGCTGTATTTTTATCTACATGTTATGTCTTAAATGCTTTTAAACTGTTCTAAATTACGACTCTTTTAATAGGATAGTTAATTTAATTGCCTGTTAACTTGTTTGGGTTTAAAACACACACACACACACACACACACACACACACAATTGCGATTAGCTTACAGCCATATTTTGTTTAATCCTGTTGTGAGTTACCTTAGGTCCTTTGTGAAAAAATGTTAGCAAATCAATTAACAAACAAAAAACAAATAGAAAATATACCATTCTCACAGTAAAACATGTTGAACATTCATCAAAGATCATCAAGCAAATGTCTTGGAAAAAGAAATATTTCACCCTTCTCAGGCAGAAGTCAGAGGTGGAACACATGATTTTATGCAGAAGGTTCCAAGTTCAATTTCTGGTTTGTCCAGATAGGACTAGGAAACTCTCCTGCCTGAAAAATTTTGCCAATTGGTGCTGACAGGATTTAACTAGATAGACCAATAGAGTATTGGCCAGCTTTTACATTCTCATTCATTGCATCATCTAAAGATAATTAGGTACCAACATTGAAGTTTTTGTAGGATCTCTCTTTCAAAACAGTGGGCTTGGGATTGTACCTGTTAATAAAAGTACTTAAATGGGCAGTTGTTCCCTTAAGTTAGAATACTCTTGCAGCAGAATAGAAGTGAGGGAAAAGCAGCATGTACCATGCCTGATTTGTTGGTAACATTGTTTTTTAAAATATTTTTGATGAGATAATTCTAGAGAATTCCATGGGTGTGGGAATGGAGGGAAGAGGGTCCCAGTTTGGATTTCTTCCATCCAGTTTATACCTCTGACCCTAGCTGTGGTTGGTGAGTGATCAGTTATGTGGCCCATCGGATTGCTCAACATTTCTTTTTAAAGAATTTATTTTATATATAAAATTTTAAATTTAGATATCATTAATTTCTATAGTGATCATATAGGGAAAACCCTTAAATGCAATCCAGACAAACATACCTCTAGACAACTGATCTGAGAAGAAGAGTAAAGCACATGTTTAAATTTTCTTGATAGCTCTGGAATCAGTGGGACCCAAAAATGTTTACACAAGGCTGTGTTTTGCCCTTTGTTTATTAAGTACTCTCCATTATTCAAGCCCTCTATAAATTCCGCAGATATACCAGTGATCTACTTCTCAGGGTTTTTTGGAGGACAAAAATGATTCTGAAGGAAATTGCATGTCAACAATATGACTGGTTCCAGGGCGGAATTTTTGTGTTTCCAAAACAAAAATACCATGACTATATTAAATTGTACTCCAAAACCTGAGTTATGAGCCTGCTCATTGTGGCTGGAATGTGGTGGAATAGAAGAGTCTTGGGGTTGTTGCCTTTTTCAAAAAGGTTATGGATTAGTTTGCTAGCAGAGTTTTGCATTTTCATGAGATGCTAATTGAGCTGTGTTTTTCCAAATGGCAGAGAGGAAACTGGCAAATGGCGTCTTAGAATAAATATTTGATTTCTCTGCTTTAATTGTCTTTAAAATGAGAATTTATAAAATGGGCATCTTTTATTATGTCAGCATGCCTGCTTTGCTTCTGCTGTAGTACACTTAAGACAAAACGTTTATATGTTATAGAAAACAAAAGACAACATTTACACTCTGTCCTGTTATGATAAAAGACTTGCAATTTTGAAACCCCATTAAATGTGCATGCCACGGGAATCAAATTATCTCTTAAAACACAGGATATACTTTAGTTTTCTTGCATTGGTTTATTTGAAATGGGCAGACTGTTAAGCAAGCTTTTGTGTCTGAGATTTCCCACCCTGCAATGGGTTCTGCTAGATAACCTGACAGTGAGAGGGGAAATCTAATATTTCAATGCCTTGTGTGCAGTATAAGTATTAATGGTGTGCACTCTCTCTCTCATTTTCTCTCTTTAAATGTATCAAATGGTTCTTGGTGGGTAGTAGAATCTATTGATTTTTGTGTGTGAGTGCAAAGTATTCTAATTATAAAATTGTCAGGACTAAAAGGCAATCTGACTGATGAAAGTTCCAATCTACATCTGTAAGGGTCAGTGCCCACATGAATAATAACTTGTTAGTTGTGTTTAGATTTATTGTATGCAGTGAACAAAGAAAAAAAGGAACATAAATATAAAAAGATTCCTGCTGGGGTGGGGGGTGGGGAAAGGGGAGCAACCCCCCTCTTCCATGCTTTGTGGCTGCACCCCATCCATTCATTCCAGTGGGCTTTGCGTGGGAGGCTGAAGTCTTATTGAAATGAATGGGAGGAGCGCAGATGCAGTGTTTGGTTATATTCCAGAAAACCTGGGAAGGAAACCTGAAACTCTGGTATTTCAGTGCTTTATAAAAACAGCAGCTTTGCTTTTCTGTTTGCAACCTGAATTGTGGCACCTGTTCCCTGAATCCATTTGAAAGCAATAAATGTGTCAGCTCCCACTGACCTTATCTCAGGGAAATTGGCAGAGTTAATATTCTTCTGATGCTTATATTCATAGTATTCTCAAATGATTTTTACAGGCTGAATAGGTGACAGTATTCTCATAGCCACGTTGAGTTAAGAATCTCTATATGTATATCTATGTGTATATATGTATGTACATACACAGAATGAGTTGTTTTTATACCCCCCCCCCCAACCACTCGTGTCCCCAGTAATCTCTTCAAGGTTCTCCGAAACCTGTCCTGGATTCATAACAATGTGTGCTTTTGATTAATACTGCAGGGGGTTCCACAACTAGCGGTTTGCTTGTCTGAAGAGCCAGAAGATCATATAAAGGCAGCGGCTGCATGGTCCTTGGGACAGATTGGGAGACACACTCCGGAACATGCTCGGGCGGTTGCGGTAGCAAATGTGTTACCCGTGTTGCTTTCTCTCTATATGGCAAGTGAGAGTGCAGAAGATCTTCAAGTCAAAGTAAGCCAATTTATTTTTTCAAGTAACAGCAATAACTTATTCCTAGAAGTGATCAAACTAGTTCTGATCCATGCCAATGCATAAAGCATAGCCCAGTTAAAGAAGCATACGAGGGTGAAGTGGAGAAGAGAACCATGTTTATTGCTTTCAGCTCATTGGGAGAAAGGCAGATATACATGTAGCTACTAAATGAGCATTTAAAGATGAAATATGAAGTAGGATTTCTGAAAGATTGAAGCAGTTCTGTAGATCTATAGCAGAGATGGGCAAACTTTGCCCCTCCAGGTGTTTTGGACTTCAATTCCCACAATTGTGGGAGCTGAAGTCCAAAACATTTAGAGGGCTGAAGTTTGCCCATACCTGATCTATAGGCAGTCCTTGAACTATCTTGGCCCAAGCTCAGATAATGCAAGGAGTCAAAAACTGGAGGGCAAAGAGGTTTGCCCTGTCTCAAAATTTGTTGTAAACAGCTGATTTGTGGTATTCAGAATGTCCAACTGAGACTGCACATATGAGAACCTAACTGGCAAACTGGGTTGCATGTTGAATCTGTACATGCACTTCTACAACTAGGTCCAGGAATGTATGTCTGTGGCTCTGAGCTTGGATTGAAGCAAGTGTGTCCTCTGGATGTATAACTTTCCCGACTTTCAATCTGGAATGGTACAACCCATCTTGCTATCTTAAGATGGTGCCACCTCCTTCTTTTCCTTCAGTAGACAAAGCCATTGCTGGTGCAGCCAGGGAAGAAGCAGTATGGAAGTGGCTCCCCCAAGTGTTTCAGTAAGTATCAAATAGGCCCCTATTCCAAGGAAAACAAAGTTGAGATCAGAGTATTCATATTTACCTTTCTGCTTCACATCATATGACATAATATTGTTTGAATCATAACATGTTTGGGGGCCTCTTTAGATTTTTGCTTTCTTTTGAGAATAGCAAGTGGCATGTAATTTTTGTGCTTTCTCTGTGTAGGTCTCTTTCCAGATTTTTTTTTAAAACTCCAGTTTCTAGGAGAACATAGTTTTCCAGATGGTTGTCCCTCTAAAGCAAGTATGTGGTATGAGTGGCTCTTCACACATACCACATGTTTTATGTTCTCTTAGTTGGATTGAGACTGCCACCATCCCTCACTGTTCGCTATGCTGTCTTGGACTGATGAAAGCTGCAGTCTAATAATACTTGAAGGGCCACACATTCCCACACTCTGATCTAAGGGGTTCATTACCATCGCTCAAAAACAGGAGTCACAATTAAAGCCATATGTTAGAGGGAGAAATCTCTTTCTATACCAGGGGCTGTTTGTTACAAAGTTAGGGCTGTGCCCTTGTACTTAACTCAATTGGCATAGATTGGGTTGTCTTGTTGGATAGCTATCATTGTTAGCATGTGATGCTGCTGGAGGCAGTATCAGTAGAGGAAGAGCTAGTCCTCATTGTATAGATGTGGTGCTGTCATCTGTTTGTTCACACTATTAGAAATGAGAGCAGTTCCATTCAGCTCTTCTGTTGCCCGACTGGGGATAAAAGGAGGATGCCTGTGGGGGTGGGGTTGTCACTGAAGGGACTACACCAAAGGGGGTTCACCTCTTTAGGGGAGCCACTTCAGGGGTGGCATGAGGGCAAGGGCCAGTCCCTTTGCTTAGCAGACCTCAAGTCTATTACCTTTCTTTTAATACCTGCCTGCCTGATTTTTATTTGTCATCTGGTCGCTTGCCCCGTACAGGAAGGATATATTTTTCTAAGGAGGGAGGGAGCTCCCAGATTTGTGGGGCAGCCATTGAAGTCATACAGGGCAGGAGGAGATACAGAAGGGGGAGGCGGTTTCAGTACCAACAATATGGGGAGTGCAATCGAGTGCTTATTGCCTCCAGACTGTTTCCAATATCTAATAGTCAACCAAGGTGACAGTCCCCCCAGGTTGGAAATCCTGCTGTTGAATGCCAGCTCAGTAAATGGAAAAATAAGTGCCATTCAGGATTTGATTCTGAATGAGCATGCTGACCTGGTTTGGTATCACAGAGACCCTGCTGGATGAGACTGGGGGGTGGGGGGGTAATCTCTCTCAGTTCTGTCCACCAAGATTCTCTGTGTAGTAGCAGGCAAGGTCTTGGGGGCAGGGAGGTGGAGTTGCAGTGGTCTATCATGATTTCATCCCCCTGACCATGTTCCCCATCCCACAGACAACAGTGTTCGAGTGTATTTACCTGAAGGTGGGTAACTGGGACAGAATAAGGATTATGTTGATGTACTGCCTACCCTTCTGCTCCACAGTCTCCCTTCCTGAGCTAGCCAGGGGGGTCTTGGGGTTGGCGTTGGAGCCTCAGTGGCTCATAATGCTGGGAAACTTTAACATCCATGCTTAGAATGCCCTCTTGGCTCAGGAATTCATGGCCTTCATAACAACCATGGGCCTTTTCCAAGTGGTATCTGGTCCTGCTCATGCTGGACACACTTTTTGGACCATGCTTTCTGTGCAGGATGGAGTGATGGTGATTGTGGTGTGGCCAAACTTGTCACATTTCTGTTGTCATGGACCGATCACTACCTGGTCAGGTTTAGACTTGCTGGAACTTTAAACCTCCACATCGGTGCAGGACTGATTTAGATAGTCCTCTCCAGGAGACATTTATCCAGATGGATTTCTGACGGCTCTTGGGGATTTTCCTGTCACCTTGGCAGGCAATTCTGTTGAAGCTTTGACTGACCTCTAGAATGGGGAAATGGCCAGGACGATGGACACAATCGTTCCTGAACATCCTTTCTCATGGAGCAGAGCCAAACCAGCTCCTTGGTTTTCCAAGGAGTTGGTGGTGATGAGGCAAGTGAGATGGAGACTAGAGTGATGTTGGTGGAGAACTTGAAGCGAATCTAACTGAGCATGGGCTAGGCTAGAGCATATTTGAAAGCCTACTCTGTGGCAATGGAGGCAGCAATGCCTCCATTGGGTATTTGTTGTAATGTTTACTCATGTTTTAGTTAACTATGTCTTATCAGATTGTTTTTTTTAAAATCACAGTTCTTAATTCCTCTCATAAGCTCACTGTTATTACTGTTGCTTTATTGTGTATTGTTTTGATATGTTGTACTCACCCGAGGCATTGAATGCTTGCCTTTTGTGTGTGCAAACTGCCCAGAGTCCCTTTGGGGAGAGAGGGCAGTCTAGAAACAATGTTTTATTATTATTATTATTATCAGAGAAATCGTTCATTGCTGCCACCATTGCATCTGCAAAGAACCATCCTTTTGAGTAGTTATAGGGTTATTACATATTGGTCATCAAGGAGAAATCCCTGATCGTTCAGCAGCTCACTGTAAAAATTTCCATGGCACTTCGCTCAGATCCACTTTGACTTATATGCAGTTATTGACACAGTTCCAATGGATGTAACTCTGGCTCCTACTTCTTGGCAGGGGGTTGGCCTGGATAGCCCATGAGGTCTCTTCCAACTCTATGATTCTGTGATCCTGCTTGTCCAGTGTTGAGGGATACCTTTAAATTTATGCAGCCTTAGGATGTGGACTGGATCCTTGGAGAGGTGGGAGCTACCACATGTATTCTAGATCCTTGCCCTTCCTGGCTGATCAAACAGGCCAGAGGGGAACTAGTGGAGTGGGTGAAGGTGGTGGTTAATGCCTCCTTGGAATAAGGCAAAATTTCAACTTACCTAAATGAGGCAGTTGTGACATATTTTAAAAAATCATCCCATAGTGGACAACTATCGGCCAGTGTCCAATCTCCCCTTTTTGAGCAAGGTTATGTAGTGTGTGGTGGCATCCCAACTCCAGGGATTTCCGGATGAAATGGTTTATCTAGATCCATTTCAATCTGGTTTCAGACCTGGCTATGGAACAGAGACAGCGTTGATCACCTTGGTAGATGACCTACACAGAGAGCTGGACTTAACCATGATATACCTCTGGGTTGTCTCGCTTGGATAGGACTGGGAGGCACAGTTTTAAAGTGGCTCTGGTCCTTCCTGGAGGGCTGTACTCAGAAACCTAAGACCCGAGACCTTCTGGTTGCAAAACATCACATACTTAGCTAAAGAGAAACTTTCTCACCCTGTCTGGATAAATACAGCTTAAATGCATCCTTGCATTTTATGGGTCATCTGTTTTAGCCTTTTTAGTGTTCTTAGTTATTTATTGGAATTTTATCTTGTTTTCCTCCCTAAAACCTAATCCAAAACTGCCTACAGTAGCACTGGAAAAAATTAAAATCGTATGTGTACTTAAAGTAAAATTTACTGTGGGTAACGTTTGTGTACTTCGGGCAGCAAAAAAAATATGGGTCTCTGGAGAGATAGTTGAACCAGCGAAATCTTGCAGGAGGTATGGTCTTCTATGGGGGAGTGTGTCTATTCCCAATTTATATATTCTAAGTGATAGAGGCCTCCATGAGTTGGGTTTAACATAAAGTAGATTGAAAATTCATACATACCTGGATGATTTTTTTGAATCATAGAATGATAGAGCTGGAAAAGACCACCTGGGTCATCCAGCCCAGCCCCCTCTCATGAAGGAAAGGAACAAAGTTCCCCTGACAGATGGCCTGTTTTAAAACTTCCAAGGAAGGAGCTTCCACCAAACTTCAAGGCAGAGTTCCACTGCTGAACACTTTTTACAGTCAGGAAGTTCTCACTAATGTTCAGGTGAAATCTCCTTTCCAGTAACTTGAACCCATTGCTTAGAGTCCTAGTTTCCAGGGCAGCAGAAAACAAGCCTGCATCCTCTTCCTTATGACATCATTTCACATATTTTCTATGGCTGTCATGTCTCCTCTTAACCTTCTCTTCTGCAGGATAAACATACCCTGCTATTTAACACACTTCTCATAGGGCATGCTCTCCAGATCTTTGATCCTTTTAGTTGCCCTCCTCTGGACACCTTCCAGCTTGTCAATATCTCTTTTAAACTATGGTGCCCAGAACTGGACACAGTATTCTAGGTGAGGTCTAACCAAAGCAGAATAGAGAAGCACCATGCCTTCCCTCAATCCAGACTAGACTTCTTTTGATGAAGCCCAAAATGCCATTGACTTTTTAGCTGCTGCATCACACTGTTGGCTCATGTTCAACTTGTTCACAAAGACTCCATGATCTTTTTGACATGGAATGTTGTCGAGCCAGATATCACCCATTCTGCATCTTTGCATTTCATTTTTCTGCCTAAATGTAGTATCTTACATTTGTCCCTGTTGAAATTTTGTTAGTTTTGGCTCAGCTCTCTAATATGTTAAGGTCATTTTGAATTCTGATCCTGTCCTCTTCAGTATTAGCTATCCCTCCTAATTTGGTGTGATCTGCAAACTTGATAAGCATTCCCTCTAAACCTTCATCCAAGTCATTAAAGATATTGAACAGTACTGGGCCCAGGGTCGAACCCTGTGGCACTCCACTAATAACCTCTTTCCAGGATGAAGTGGAACTATGTATTCCTGGAGTTTGAGATACAAATGAAGGATGAAACTGAGGCTCCTTCCACACAGCTGAATAAAATCCCACATTTTCTGCTTTGAACTGGAATATATGGTAGTGTGGACTCAGATAACCCAGTTCAAAGCAGATATTGTGGAATTTTCTGCCTTGGTATTCTGGCTTATATGGCTGTGTGGAAGGGCCTTAGAGAAGTCACACATGCATTCTAGACTTTAGGAGAGCAGATTTCAGGAAAATTAAGGAATACTGAGTGTGATTCCATGGACAGTAATATTAAAAGAGAAGGGAATTCATGCTGGATATCTCTTAAAAAGTGAGGGTACAATTGCAATAATGCCAGCAAGGAGAAAAAATAGCAGAAGTGTAAAACAATCCGATTGGATGTGCAAAGGATTCTTAACTAAGCTAAGATTTAAAAGAGATATACACAATAAATGGAAAAGGGGGGAAATAATCAAAGAGGAATTTAATCAAATAATCAACATATGTAAGGAAAAGGGTTGTAAGGCTAAGACGCAAAATGAGCTCAGGCTTGCTAGAGAGATTAAAAACAATAAAAAGAAACAGTTCTTTGGATATGTCAATAGAAAAAGGAAGAAAAAGGAAACATTAAGGCCTCTGCATGGAGAAGGTGGTGAAATGGTAACAGGAGATAGGGAAAAGGAAGAGCTGCTCAACATGTTCTTTGCCTCAGTCTTCTCCCAAAAAGAAGATCAAGAGGGATTTCTTTTAAAAAATAACAGCCAAAAATGTAATACTCTACTCCTTTCTAAATTGGATTGCTGAAACTGAAAAACACTGGGGTACTCAGATCAATTGCTAGGGCTCAGAATTCTAGTTCTGTATGAATGCTCTTATATATCTCACATTTCTTGTAAGTACAAAGTATATATTGCAGCCACTAAATACAAAATACCCTACCCAATTCCTCATTAATTATTTTCTCTTTTTACTGTCCTTTATGTTCTGTAACTCCCTTTCCAGAAGGATTAGAATGGCACCTTTCTGTTTTGGCAGGCCTTTGAAAACTGTGTACAAAGCCATTTGAAGTGCTAGACTTTCTACCTGCTATTTCGCTTTTCCTATTTTTCAATAATGACACCTGTTTTAAAAAGAAATGTAATCCTTTTTTAACTTTTATATTTTGTGAATTTTAAGTATGTCCTATTTATCTGTTATAAGCCATCTGGAACCACCAAGTGGGTGAAAGGTGGGATATAAATAAATATAATGATGCTGCTTCTGATGAATAGGATTGACTGTCCCTCAGTCTGTCAGCCAAGGACAGCATTTTGGTTTAACCAAGTGGCAAAGGTTTGGGAGCCATACAAAGAACTTAAAGCGCTCAGCCGTGGGTAGCTCAGTTCTGTTTCCTTTTAAACGCTTTGAATGGGAAGCTGGATACAAGCTGTTCGTCATTGTAACATTTCAGTCCATTTGCAACATTAATGCAGAGGATAGAATATCATGTCATTATCTAATTACATTTGAACTTGGTAGAGCTCAGGTGGTCACAAGGGAAGTTACCCCTGCAGGGCTCAGAAGCTCTGTTTTGGACTAATGAAAGCCTTTGCAGAAACTGTCTGATTTTTTTCCAGACATTTCCAGAACGGTTTCCAGGCCTTTTTAGAGCAATTTGAGTTCTGTTGCATAAACCAAACGACAGTACAGGAGGGAAAAATCTCAGCCTCTATGTCAGATACCAGATACTATAAGATAATATCTGTAGCAACCAGTGTTTACAATATTGGTATTAATCTAAACCCTGCCCTTCCAAAGCAGAGCCCTATTGGAACTTAGCTTTTGGACAGCAAGGCTGTAATCCTCCTGAACTATCAAAATTTACTCTTGGGTGCATTTCACTGTTTCTCAGCTGAACCTATTTTCAGCTGAGATGATAAAATGTGGAAAATTATATATGCTATCTTCAACTCACTCGACAAAAGGTAAGATATAAATGTAGCAATAGTACATATCCTTCTATTTATGTAACATATCTTTTTATTTCATTTTGTTTGTCTTTATTGCAATATCAAAGCATGACTTGTACATGGTTATGGGAATTAAAACAAAAATCATTATGCTCACAGTCAGCCTTTCACAACCTTCCTGTCTTTTATAACAAATTAAACTTGGGTTTCCAGAGAATATTTTCAAAATTGCTAATATTCATTAAAGAGATATGAAGATGCCTACAGTTTTTGCATTGCTGAAATAATCCAGTCTTAATTTTATAAATAGGTTTAGAGTGATTATGTTATCTAATACCTTACAGAAAATATTTTATATTTTGATAGACAAAGAAGGCTTTGAAAAACATCTTACAGAAGTGCACTCATCTGCCAGCACTTGAACCTTTGCTCCACGATGCTCCTCCTAACATCCTGAAACACGTAGTAGGCCAGTTCAGTAAGGTAAGTGGCCGTTTGTTTGTTACTGGGCTGTGTGCTTGGCCAGTGTTTCTGAAACCCAGGGTCACTTGCCTGACATATCACCAGAATCAGGGAAGAAAGCAGCTGTCTCACACAAGAAAGAAAAATGCTGCATAGTTTGGTCTTATTTATTACAACACTTGGGGAAGTAAACTGCCAATTTGTGCTGCTGTTTTCTTTCTACATCAGGTTTCTTCTTTATGGTGTTTGTGAATACAGACAAATTGCTCTAACTGTGCATCAACTCAGATTTTGGTGGTAACCCCACCCACTTCTCCCCAGGGCATAAAAGGTGCTCTGGCCAGTGGCTCCCCAGTTCCTCTTTTCTGCTGCTGCATTTTCTTTGGAAGCTTTGCTCTTTGTTGGGATGTCTACCACAAGATTCAAACGCTGCATGACTTGCTCCACAGAAATCCCCAACTCTGGCAGACACTATGCTGCCTTCTCTGCCTTGGAGAAGGCCACATTGCCAGAAAATGCCAGCACTACCAGGCATTTACCTTGCAGGCTAGGAAGACCAGAAAAGGGAGGCTTTACTCCCTATTGTATCAGCAGGATCTGACACCATCTGTTTCCAAGACATGTTCCATTATGCCCTCCCAGATGTCAACATCTTAGAGAACATCGAAGACATCTTCAAAGAAGACTTTGGCATCGAAGCCTCAAGCCTCAAAGAGATCGACCCCATCAATAGTTGCATTGACATTGGACTCAATTACATTGGTACAATTGACATATTCGATCATGGACACACCCACCGTCTTCATCATCGATGATCGTCTTTAAGAAGTCTCATGAAGAAGCTAGGAGGGCAGTGGCAACAGGTCAGATACCAGCAAAGACGTCGATCCCGCCTACATCGGAAAAATCCCTAGACGCAGAACTGCAAAAGAATAGATTCTCCAATAAAAGGAGACTTCAGCAGTCTTTCTTGTTGGCCTCATCAAGAGCAGATCCAGAGATCTCACTGGAACAGTCTTCAAGTTGCTCATCACCATTGCTGCTGCCTGAGCAACCCCCTAGTTCACCACGAGGCTTCATGGTGGACCCATTTTTGAAAGGCAAGCTTCAGGGCTCCCCTCAGAGGTCCACAAATATGGTCCAGATAAAACCTCCCTGCCTACCTGTCTGCCTATCTTTCTACCTATCTGCCCCAAAATGCCCTAAGCTACATGGTGAGCATTTTTATCATGTTTTGGCCCCTTTGCCCTTTTATGTCCAGAAGAAGATTTCATTACAACCAGAAACCTTTTATGTCCAGAAGAAGATTTCATTACAACCTGTAGAGTTTAGAAATTTACTTTTTAAGAAGGATCGATTATGGGTGGCTTTTAGCCTTTCATATATTCATCCTCCTCACTTCAGGTTGTTCTTGTTTGCTCTTTGGTGAAAAAGGCTTTTCCATCCAAAGTGTTAGATAGGATGAGAAAACCCTGATGTGCAGAGCTCAGCCTATGCTGAATTGTCTTTCTGATGAATACTACAGGTTTGTGTCATGCTCAGTAGACCCTAAAACAATCACAAAAAGACAAGGTTAAGGAAAGGGTAACCTTTGAGCTTTTAAGGTTTGGGGGGAGCTATGTCATAAATCTTGTCAAGTAGAAAGGCCGATGTGGAATACATGCTAAGCACATCAATATGGTTTGGAATAGGCAAGACTCCACTCAAATTATGAAATTTATTTTTTAGAGCTATTTGATCCTAAGGCGGGATTCCATCTAAAGCACAGGTGATGGTCCAGAGATCCTGTTGTGGCCTGGCTTTGGAATGTCCTTCTAGAAAAGGACTATTTACCAAAATAAGGGTTTGGTAGCCATAGCTTAGCCTTTTATTCTTGCTGAAAACAAGCATTTTGAAGGATTCAGAGGCTGTTGTTCCAGGAGCTTCACTGGACCTCGGCCAAAGAGACACTTTAATGTCAAGGTAGCAGCTTTAATGTTATTGAGAGAATGTGGTCACTATCCCTAATGCTGAATAGAAAGAAAGGTATTGGTAATTCAGATGTGTATGTTGTCCACTTTGATTTTATATGCACACTACAAAGTGTTTTATACTTAGGTTCTTGTGGGTTTTTTCGGGCTATAGAGCCATGTTCTAGAAGCATTTCTCCTGACGTTTCGCCTGCATCTATGGCAAGCATCCTCAGAGGTGTGAGGTCTGTTGGAAGTAGGAAAAATGGGTTTATATATCTGTGGAATTGCTGGGGTGGGGCAAGGAGCTCTTCCCTGCTGCAGTTAGGTGTAAATGTTTAGCTGATCACCTTCATTAGCATTTGAAGGCCTGCCTGAGCCTGGGAAAATCTGTTGCTGGGAGGTGTTAATCTGTGCCTGGTTTTTTCCTCTCTGTTGTTTAGCTGTTATAATTTTAGAGTTTTTTAATACTGGTAGCCAAATTTTGTTCATTTTCATGGTCTCTTCCTTTCTGTTGAAATTGTCCACGTGCTTGTGGATTTCAATGGCTTCTCTGTGTAGTCTGACATGGTGGTTGTTGGTGTGGTCCAGCATTTCTGTGTTCTCAAATAATATGCTGTGTCCAGGCTGGTTCATCAGGTGCTCTGCTATGGCTGACTTCTCTGGTTGAAGTAGTCAGCCATAGCAGAGCACCTGATGAACCAACCTGGACACAGCATATTATTTGAGAACACAGAAATGCTGGACCACACTCACAACCACCATGTCAGACTACACAGAGAAGCCATTGAAATCCACAAGCATGTGGACAATTTCAACAGAAAGGAAGAGACCATGAAAATGAACAAAATCTGGCTACCAGTATTAAAAAACTCTAAAATTATAACAGCTAAACAACAGAGAGGAAAAAACAGGCACAGATTAACACCTCCCAGCAACAGATTTTCCCAGGCTCAGGCAGGCCTTCAAATGCTAATGAAGGTGATCAGCTAAACATTCACACCTAACTGCAGCAGGGAAGAGCTCCTTGCCCCACCCCAGCCATTCCACAGATATATAAACCCATTTTTCCTACTTCCAACAGACCTCTCAACCTCTGAGGATGCTTGCCATAGATGCAGGCGAAACGTCAGGAGAAATGCCTCTAGAACATGGCTCTATAGCCCGAAAAAACCCACAAGAACCTAGTGATTCCAGCCATGAAAGCCTTCGACAATACATTGTTTTATACTTACTTTGTAAAAATACCTTTCTTAAAGCCTTTTCTTCAGGTTTTTCAGGCTTGATCCAAAAATATGTTTTTCTTTCCAAATTGCTTTTTTTATTGTATTGTGCTCCTTTTTCAGTACATCCAAATGAAGTAGAATATGTTATCAGATCATACCTAGTGTGGTGTTGTGAATCTTTAAGGATTATTTAATTTCTTATGATATGATTTCTATTTCATAGGTTCTGCCACATGATTCCAAAGCTAGACGCCTTTTTGTAACAAGTGGTGGACTTAAAAAAGTGCAGGAGATAAAAGCAGAGGCTGGGTCCCTGCTTCAAGAATACATCAACACAATTAACAATTGTTATCCTGAAGAAATAGTCAGGTGAGAAAATCATCGTAGTGTTTTGTTCATTTTCATTTTGTAAATATTTTCAGCCAATAATTCTCCCGCACCAGGTGCTTCAGTAAGTCACAGTCCCCGGAGCTGCAGCTTTCGTTTTGAACCTCCACCCTACCCTCAAAGCTTGGAATTTTTTTTTTATGTGCCTCATTCTCCATTTCGTCTTTCAAAATAGTTACTCTGTCTTTGTTTTCCTATGGCATGTTCAGTCCTTATTGGGCTATTTGGGAGTGTTTCACCTACTTCTTAATTTTTATTCTAATTGTTTTGTTTTGTATTTTATGAAATTCTAGGGTACCCGCTCCAAAAAGTTCTGATGATAGGTTCTTCTTATATATAGGTGGTTTTGTTTGGCTACAGTATAATGCAAAACTTTATTACGGTCACTGACCAGCACAAAGCGGGACACAAGTGCCCTGGGAAGGGGAAACACAGCTCCCTAGTGAGGCAGTTATTAAAAAACAGATTAGAAAACAGTTTAAAATCACAGTTTAAAAACACAGGTCAATGTAACAGGTATGTTTGGCTACATAAGCATGCTGTTTGCTACATAAGCATTATTACTATTATTATGTTTATTTTTTTCTCTCCACAAGGAGACTAAAAGTGGTTTCCATTAAAAGCATTTCAATACAATTTAAAATCCACAAATATATAAGCATTAAAACAGGAGTTTACATTTTAAAAATGAATTAAAATCCTTAAAACATATTCAAAACTAAACTCCTCAGCACCCCCTGACTTGATCTTTAAAATCTTCTTTAAAAGCCTGTCTGAATAAAATGTTTTTAGCCTGCCACTGGAAGGATAGTAGGGAGGGGGCCATTCTGACTTCCCTGGGAAGAAGGAAGCTCCACAGTCGAGGGGCAGCCACTGAGAAGGACCCCCACTCTTCTTGTTCCCACCAACCGAGAAGTGATGGAGGTGGGCCCAAGAGAAGGGCCTCTTCTGAAGATCTCAGTGCTGAGGCAGATTTGTACAAAGAGATGTGGTCAGCCATATAGCCTGGACCTGAGCTGTCTAAGATTTTAAAGGTCATAATCAGCCCTTTGAATTGTGAGGAACCTGGTCAGGGGGGTGGAATCACAATAGACCATTACAATTCTACCTCCCTGCCCTCAGGTTTTATCTGCTGCTATACAGAAAAACCTGTCGGGCAGAGCTAAGAGAGATTACACCCCCCCCCCCCAAGTTTCATCTAGCTAGGTCTCTGTGATACAAACCATCCAGAATCAAGTCGTGAATTGCAGTTGTTTTTCCATTTACTTACCTGGCATCCAGTAACAGCATTTTCAACCAAGGGGTACTGWCACCCTGGGTATCCAGGCTGATATAGGAGACAGTTTGGGGGCAATAAGCACACTATTTTGCTTTCCATTTTGTTGGTACTGAGGTTGTCTCCTCTTTCCAATTCCCCTCCTGCCCTGTATGACTCCAATGGCTGTCCCACAAATCTGGGAGCTTCCTCACTCCTCTAGAAAACACATCCTTTCTATATGGGACAGGCTAACAGATGACAGATAAAAAACCTTGTATAAAATCAGGCAGGCAGATGTTAGAAACAAATTAATAGGTGTGAGGTAAGTTAATCAAAGGGACAGGCCCTCCTAAAGATTGGGCCCAAGTCTCCTCTAATGTTCTCACTATCCTTCCCACAACTCTGTAGTTCTGCATAATTTAATTGGCTTTCAAGAAATGGTACAAAAGGAGAGTTAAGAAGCAGGCTGTCCCTCTGCTAGGCCACTGCATTATCCATAATGCTCAGATGCTGTGCAATTCTACTCCCTCTGCTGGTTGTCTGCATTTTTCGTAAAGTCAGTCGCATGCTGTGGCTCAGACCTCCTGGAATTGAAAGAGCTTCACTTGTGAAGTGAATGAATTAAAATGACCTGAAAATATCCCACAAAGGCTGTCTTGGATTTCTGCTGCCAAAACTGAAAATACAGATTAAACAATGTCATGGATATTTTGTTATTTGGGCCTAGTAGGCAGATCATTTTGTTTGGAACAATTAATTTTTGAGGCATGAAACATTAGCTAGATTATGTTTTTTAAGCATACAGTCTGATTTTATCTATCTTTTCATCTGAAGTAATTCTGGTAACATCAGTGGGAATAACTTCTCCTATAGTGTCCATCAGAGAACCTTTGTGTGAGGAAACACAGACAATCAAATTGCTGGTAGAATGGATAAAAGTGTGCAAGTTCATTGTTTACATACTACCCGCATGTTAATGGAGTAGCATTTCTGATATTTCAGAGTCCACATACCTCTGCATTACCAGATGTGGGTCTGATGAAAGTTTACCTTGTTTGTTTACATTTCTTATTGCTTTTTGTTTCACTTAAAAGTCTGTTCTTCATTTCTTCCATTTACAAAAGCTTTTTTGTTTATCGTGAAAAGACAATGATCATGTGGCGTGAAACACTGAGAAACTGGTTTCCTCTGTAGCCTTTCCTCTACAGTTCCTTGCTGTCTGTTGATTTTTGTTTTAAATGCCACATGCTGCTTTTAAATCTGACCTTTGGGCTGGGATCTGAGGGAAGCTAAGACACGTTTTATACTTTGATTGCCTGCCCAAGCGGGAATAGTTAGACAGCAGTAAATTCTTCCAAGTGAAATCTTTAAGGGAACCGAGCAACATTAAGCAAATTCTCTAGGGAGGGGTCTTTGGAAACTTGTGTTTTTCTTTGTCATTTATAAGCAAAGCAGTATGGAAGAAGAGATGAAATTTCAGGTTTCACTGAGAGTGGAAGAGACCAACAACCATAGCAAGGGTCAATGGCTCTTGGATATAAATTCAAGATTAAACGACAAAGCAGTTCACTTTTTAAATAAAATTATGATGATTATTATGGGAATACTTCACAATCATCTGGAACATATGTGGATATATAATCACATCTGCCCTCCCAAGAAGCTATCCTTTGGAGGAGAATGGGCTTTTTTCATAGATCTGTAATAAGCATCCAGCAGAGTTGGGGATTGGAGTAGGATTCATATCCTTCAGTCACCAGCGACAGATTTGAACAGTGAGATCTACACCATAGATAGCATAAAATATGGTGAAGGTGCAAAGTTAATGTTTGATTAATATTTAGGCCAATCCCTGAGATAATTTAACCATGCACATTTTCATTAGGGGAAATCTGCAGTATGAAACCAATGGTCTAGCCTGGTGGTAATGGCGCTGATAATGGTAATTCCTCTCCTCCCCATCTTCCATTTCCAAGTCCAGTTTAAGAGGGATATCTGGTCTATGAACAGCAAATCTGAGAAAAATGTCATTTTTACTTTGATATGTAGCTGGGGCAAGTCTGTTTAGAATGTCTTAGAAAAGGATTGGATTTATATTCAGATGAAACCTATTGAAATTTATTTATTATTATTTATTTCGAGGTTTTATATACCGACCCTCTCACCTTCAAAGAGGGATTCGGACCGGTTCACAACATGTGTTAACATACAAAGAATATACAATAACAACACAATGCCACTTCATAACACGATTAAAATATCAGCACTATACACATTAAAACATTATCATCACAGTTAAAAGAGCCAAATCGTCTGACACCATCACAATCCCATTCATCATCCTCCTTTCATGTGGGCAAAGAATTAAATCAGTTGTCAAATGCCGCGTTCCACAACCAGGTCTTCGTTAGTTTCCTGAACGTCATGAGGGAGGGGGCAGTTCTGATCTCTAATGGCAGGGAGTTCTAAAGTCGAGGGGCCACCATCGAGAAGGCCCTGTCCCTCGTCCCCACCAGCCGTGCTTGTGCAGGTGGAGGGACCGAGAGCAGGGCCCCTCCATACGATCTTAGTGGTCTTGATGGTTTGTAGGGGAGAATACGTTCGGAGGGGTAAACAGGGCCGGAGTCGTTTATCAAGTCGAAATCAATGTAACCTCAGGTAGTTATGACTAATTTAAATCCCTTTGATTTCAATGGGTCTAATTAGAGAAAAATCCAGGTCTAGATATTGTTAATTTCTTTAAAAAGAAGAATGTATGTGTTGATGCATACCAAGGAATAATTTGGCAGTAAATTATTTTTGTCCCCATAATGCGCCATATTTTAAGCAAAGAAACACCAGTTTAGAGAGTTAGGGATTAATCAAAATATACACATAAAGTCTGGGCCCGAAAGTCTTTTCATTGTCATACCTCCCTTTATATTCTAGTCCCAAATCCTATTTTGTTCTCCTTTAAGGGCAAACAGTCACAAGACAGCTGGAAATTATTCCTAACAGCCAAAGGCCTAAAGCCATTGTTAGACCAACTAAACCAATTGAATCAGGGAACTTACTTAAGGGCTGTATTGCTTTACCAAATTTCCATTGATTTTAATGGGTCTACTCATGGTGGGGAACTAATAGTTGGATTCAGGCCTAAGTTGGTAAGTTGCAGAAGCTATTGTAAAGATATCACTTAGGAAGAGTGGATGAAAAACTGTTTTCGTCCCGTAAAACTAGATTAATTAGATGTGCAACAAATGTGAAAAAGATTCAAGAGAGATAAAATGATGTGTATGTGCAGTGTATAGTTAAACTATGGGTTTTACTGCTCCAAGATGTTATAGTCAATAGTTTAGGTTTCCATAAAACTGGGATGGGCAATGTCCAAAGCCTTGAGTGCATACCCTCCACCTGTCTGGTTTGACAAGCACAGCCCTAGTTTATTCTCTGTTCTCCCACTTTCTCAATACCTGTTAAAATATCCCAGATTCTCTGTCTTCCTCCCAGTTTCCCCTCAATATATACATTCCTGGTTTTTTCTGCTTATAAGTCATCTCATGTTTGCTTCTTTATTGATAACATTTGCCTCAATTGCTCAGTCGCACCATATATGTGTCCTGGTTTTTGCAGTTGAAATCTTGGAGGGTGTTTTGTTGCTGTTCATGCTCTGAGATCTTAGAGGGTCCTGCCTTACCTCTCAGCTACCAGCCCATTTGGTGATTCCAAATGGCCATAGCACCCTCTGTGGGGCACAATGAGGCATTTGGCCTCATTGGATGTGAGAAAATATTGGCCTATTCTCAAAACCCAAAGATGGCCATCCAATCTTTATGTAAAAACCACCGATGAAGAAAAGCTCAACTTCCTCCAAAGCAGTTCATTCCACTGTTGAATGGTTGTTACTGCCAGGAATGCTTAATTTTAATCTACTTTCTTGTAATTTCAATTATTGGTTCATAGCCTACATCTTGCAGAAGGGAAGCAACTTGTTTTATCTTCTTCATGGTAGCTCTTCATTTAATTTAACTAAAGATTTGCCTTTATGGGGAGGGCAGATGTGAAACAACGGTTCCATACAAAATTAGAATATCATCTTTGTACAGAATGAAGAACACTTAATTTTACTGATTTCCTTCAACAGGTTTAAGTGTGCTTTAGTCAGATTTTAGATTTGTATTTAAAACACATTGTTTTTTTTTAATCAAGACATCCTTGTTTTTCTTTCAGATATTATTCCCCTGGATATTCTGAAGCACTTCTGGAAAGGGTAGAAAATTATCAGCCTGTTCTATAAACTTTTCAGTATTTTTGACAGAAAATAATGACTTATCTGTAACAAGAAAATATACTTTGGAAAGTTCTACTATGGGAGATATTTAACCCTCTCTTCTTTTACCAATGATTTAGGACAATAGGTGGATATTCCTTTCTGTCTTTAAACCACAGTTTGATTTTTAGAAGTTCAAGCTTAACAAGAAAGCCTGTCTGAGTTTCTCAAGTGTTGAAGACCTAAGAACAGAAGGTCCAACACTTTTTCTGAATATGCCTCTTGTCTTTAGAGCCTAATCAGGTCCTTAAAACAAAAGATTAAGTATGTTAATATGTGAAGGAATTGTAACACCCTCCACCAAGTCCTGGAGTTCTACATTCTTTGTTTGTGGCAGTGGTCTGCATGGAAATTTCATTTGCAGGTTTGTATCAGCCAACGTTCAAATGGTCTCCATATGAATAAACAAGTGACAAACTACACTTTGATTTCTTGCCTTTCTATCACTTCAGCCCTTGAATGGTTGATCTTAACATGCAGGTTTTTAATTTCATATACCTGCAACCTCAGGAGGACAGTTTTCTGAGTTTGCAAACTATTTTTTTTAAAGGTGTGTAGGCGTCACTGAATGATGGTATGAGTTATATAGGTATTCATTGCATATCAGTAATCCTATTTTGTGGTATTTTTCACTTACCTCAGCCTTTTATTGTAAGACTTTAGAGAAAACAAAATATAACAAAAGCAATACCTTTATTAGCCAATGAAAATGCACAAAATGCATCATGCTAACTTTCAAAGCTCCATTGGTATCTTCATCAAGCAAAAGATGTTACAGGTGAAGAAAAATGACAATGGTGAAGTCACAGGCCATATTTTGTATCACATGTTGTTTTTGTTGTAATTAAGTTGGTCTGGAGAGATCTCAATGCAGGCAGAAGCCATGCCCCCTTCTTGGCCATGTACAGAATGAGAAAAAGTACAATAAAACTTACTCCATTAGCAACTGTTACACAGCTTTTCTTGAGAACCAGGTTGTATTTGTGCTTTGTGAATTCACGGGCCCCTTGCTAGGAAAAAATAACAAAAAGTGTTGTGGCATCTTAAAGGTGAATACATGCTATTTAGAATAGACCTATTTTATCAGATGGATGAACTCTTGCCTTAGCTGGCAGCAGGCATGTAGCCGGGGGGGGGGGGGGGGGCTCGGGGGGCTTCAGCCCCCCCCCCCCCCGAAATTCTCATGGTGGTTCGCGAAAAGGCCTTACTGGTGCATTATTTAAACTGTTATGTTTATTCATATCATTATCTGATCACCATACTCAATATATCCCATATGCATGGGGGTATTGGGGTAATGATACAAAAGGTTTGCTAGGGTAGACCCTCTTTCACTCAGACTCAGCCCCCCCCCGAAACTCAGCCCCCCCAAACCCCCCCTGAAAAAAAATTCAGCCCCCCCCCGAAACGAAATCCTGGCTACGGGCCTGGCTGGCAGATTTATATGCACGGAGGGTGGGTGGGTGGATTGTAATTAATGGGAGCATTTAGTAGGCTTATATGTAGACAGAATCCAAAGTGAAACAGCTTTGGAGACTGAAACAGTAACGAGGTTCAATTTTGTCTCTTATGCCATTCTATCACATGTGTTAAATTAGTTCATGGCTGTCATACCACATGACTATTTGTTTATTGCCGTAGCTATGGTAATGGTCAGTATGTATCTTTTAATATATTTCATTTGCCTCCAAACTCACAAGTTACCATCTCTCACCTAATCATTTGTTTCTTCCTGGTTAATAGAACTTTATTCCAGCCTTTGAAATCATTGAAAGCCAATAAGTTCCTGTTGGCTGGGAAGGCTGGGAAGAGTGATGTCTCATTCATTCCAGAAACTAGATTGGAGATGTTTTCTTTTTTCTTCCTTCTGAAATTTGTTTCTGTGATGTTGTTCTTCTAGTGCAGTGGTTCTCAACCTGTGGGTCCCCAGTGTTTTGGTCTACAACTCCCAGAAATCCCAGCCAGTTTACCACATGTTAGAATTTCTGGGGTTTGAAGGCTAAAACATCTGGGGATCCACAGGTTGAGAACCACTTTGGCTTTCTTATATACTTTTGTCAAAGTAATTTCAATGACCTAGACAAAGCTGTATTTGATTAGTTTTTCAACACAATGAACCTGAATAAAACCAGCCATCTTGTTAAAGGAGTAAAAATACCATAGTCAACAGCTGTGTGCCTCAGCTAAAGCAGAGCTTTCCACCTACTTGTTTCTGAAATTGCTGATTCTTCAAGACATCTAAACATCATTCAGATTTTGGACACATGTCTCTGTTTTTTGAATACGTGGAACTTTTTAAAAGCTGCTTTTAAAACAATTTTTGAAAAGCTGGCGATAATATACATTTTAAACACAGGCTGTTAGGCAATTCTGGTCTCCAGAAATATGCGTGTTACAACTTGCTTTGTAGGAATTCTGTCAACATAAGCCATACTACAAATGTGGCTTTTTGGAAGGGATGGAGTAGAGAACCACTGGGTGGCACATTGTCAGGATTTGGACAGCCTGCTGATCTTCTGGAATGCAGCCAGATGAGAGGAGACGCCATGCTGCTGTCAAGCAATAGAACAGCTGTTGCTGCTGCTGTTAGTCTGTTGGCTCCATAAGGACATGACAAACCTCGCAGAAGTAAAGAGAGATGTCTAATTCATGTTAACACCAATCACATCGACCCTAAAGACTTGGCAGCTTTTAAGAAGAAGGGGAAGATATTCCATTCTTATTACCCACTAGGCAAACTGCTGGCCTCAAACCAGTCCTTGTGGTCTTAATAGTTTGAGAAAGATGGAAAGAATCTGCCCTCAAGTTATTGTCGAAGGCTTTCATTGCCGGAATCACTGGATTATTGTAGGTTTTTTTTGGGCTGTATGGCCATGTTCTAGAGGCATTCTCTCCTGATGTTTCGCCTGCATCTATGGCAAGCATCCTCAGAGGTAGTGACCTCAGCTTCTGCCAACCTAGCAGTTCGAAAACATGCAAATGTGAGTAGATCAATAGGTACTGTTTTGGCAGGAAGGTAACAGCATTCCATGCAGTCTTGTTGGTCACATGACCTAGCAGGTGTCTATGGACAATGCTGGCTCTTCAGCTTAGAAATGGAAATGAGCACTGTGAGGAAGTGTTATTTTACTGCCATCAATTAGGAACCGTTTGTAAATGGGCCACTTCTTAATGAGGGTTTATTAACTTGATAGCGTAGCTTATGACTAATAATATTGCTTTAGTCTTTCTTATATGCAGGCCGACTTGACTTGGAAGAAAATTGTATCAGAGGCAACGCTTTAGAAAAAAAATAGTAACAAGTTTATTGGAATGTAGAAGTATGATGGATTCAATGTTACTTAATTCTGAGAGGCACAAATCTTCATAGGTTACATTTATAACGTTTCTTGGATAACTCTGGGAAGGGCTCTTCCTTCCCCTAAACAGTTTTCAAACAGTTTCTTTAAAAAGATGTTACTTTCTTTACAGATTAGTTCAGGCACACGCTTTTTCTTGCTTTATGATGTTTCTGTTATAATCAAGATACTTATTAGGGTTTCCCCTTTCTTTCCTCAACAACCATTCTTCTAATATAAATAAGTCACCTGACTTATCTAAACTCTATTGGCTCAAAGCCAAACCCTGATTCTTAATATCAAAGAATCAGTCTTCCCCTATAGTTCTCTAACTATAGGATTCCTGCTGGGTTTCCACACACCACAGGATCAACCACCGCTGTAGTTCACCGACCACAGATTGACAGTTAAAAATGGCTGCTCTGCCAAGTGGCAGTTGGCTCCGCCCCCATCTCCATGGCAACTCAACTCAAAGCAAGCTAAGCCGGTTACCACCCCCCAATATAAGGCAATACTACATACTTACCATTACTAACCTTTATCTAAAAGAATACATAACTGTAGGAATAAAAAATGTACACATAATCACAAGTACCATCCCCCCAGAGTCGGGCACAGCTAGACTTAATGTCAAGGGGAAAGTTTTACCTTCACTTACCTAAAAGGGAGGATGCTAAAGTCTATAATAATTACAGGATGATGAGATCAAAAATCAGTTTCCTGTAAAATAATACATGGCAGATGAAAAAGCAGAAGTTACAAAATTAGGAATCAGAAGAGGATTTGAAATCCACAAGTTATTGGAGAGAAATCTCATGACATGAATGTGGATGTAGATATTTGCTTTGTTGATTAGGAGGAAAAATCTATATAATTGGTACTTTATAACAATTGGCAACAAAATCCACTGAAAGCTGAAAAACCCATTCACAGAAGACCTAGAAATATATGAAGGATTGCAGTGAGAATGCAGAGTCTCACCATTCATTTTAAATTCATACACCGGGAACATCTTTAGAGATGGCTTCCAGATTCACACAACAGCATCAATGGACAGGTTCTCAATAACATCTGATACACCAATGATTCAATATTATTGGCTGTTAATTTAGATGATTCACAAAGATTAATACATTCTATGAAATAAGGAATGAATGCTGTCTAAAAATAATTGTTTAGAAAAACAAGTTGATGATAATTAGCAATCAAAAGTCAAATTGCCCAAGAAAAGGAGTTAAAGACCCAATATGAAAGTGTGTTGATAATTACAAATATCTTGGGATTTGTTTGAATGAATTGTGAGATCTTAGTAATCCATTTAAAGGTTAGAACAAAGGTGCTGTAGAATTTCTGTTGTCCCAATGGCTTGAGTTAACCCTTAGAGCTAACAACCAACATATGATTAGGCAAGACTATCAAACAAAAGACCTTTTTTTGCAACTCAAACCAAGAACTGGGCTCATTTTCTTCCGCAAACATATTCCAGTTCTTTAGATAAATCTATTGTTTTACTCTTTTGCCAAGCAAACAGAACTAATACACAACACAGCAATCATCTAATTGATACTCACATTAACCCAAATTATAGGGCTCACTGCCATTTGAGACTTGTTTCCCCCAACGCCAATATTATTTATGTATTGTTTAGAAGACAAATACGCAACTATTAATTTTATAGAATTTGTGCTTTTTTATCTCACTACTTTTTTTGTCGACATATCCCATTATTTATTTGTACAAGCCAACAGATTTAATCCAGTTATTTTTAAAAGTGAACTAAAAGCTTGTCTCTTTTGTGACAATTTTTTACGACTTTCTAATTTTCTCTACTAGTGTTTGATTTTCTTATTCAAAGATGAATACAAAGCATGTTGTTTCGGTCCCTCCTCTGATGCGAGGAAGTTACACGCTAGGTGTTAAAATTACTTTGTATCTGTGTTGCAATTATTTTCCTACTTGATGTTCTTGCTAATTTCAATATTTCTTTGTGTATCATGTCGAGGTCCTGAACCGGTGCCTGGCCGCTGTAACTGGTCTGGATGAGGGCGAACAAATTGAAATTGAATCCAGACAAGACAGAGGTA